GAGTAGAATTATACATCCTTAAGTTTAGCTACAGACACATTCCTGCCAAGTAAAAGCACTCAACGAGGACGTCACTTGCAGACAGTCCCAAGAATCATATAGAGGGGGCTGAAGCGTCTTATTTGCCATCCTCGATTTACAGAAAGGGAGATTCACACATAGATGGGACTGGCAAGAAAGACACGATGGAGTCATGCTTGAGCAAGTTGGCATTTCAAGCAGGAATGGGTAACGCAGATGCTGTTGGCCCTGCTGCCTTAGAAGATGGCCCAAATGGAAGACACCTCAGTGCCATTATTCTTGATCATGGGTAAGGGGCCGGATCCGGCCCAATCACCTTCTAAATCCGGCCCGCAGACAGTCCAGGAATCAGTGTGTTTTTACATGAGTAGAATGTGTGCTTTTATTTAAAATGCATCTCTTGGGGGGGCATAGGAATTCGTTCATTCCCCCTCCCAAATATAGTACAGCCCCCCACAAGGTCTGAGGGACAGTGGACCGGCCCCCTGCTGAAAAAGTTTGTTGACCCCTCTTCTTGATCTTCATAAAGTTTCCTACTTATTATTACTTTGACTGCCCATGAGGAGCTTAGAGCAGCATTGCCATATGTCCTCTTTTTCCAGGACATGTCCTCTTTTTCATGCTGAGAATAGACAGAGTTCCATAGTTAGAAGTTGGCAAATGTGTCCTCTTTGTTGCTCTTCAAAATATGGCAACCCTACATATACAGTGGTACCTCGGGTTACAAACACCTCAGGTTACAAACACTTCGGGTTACAGACTCCACTGACCCGGAAGTAGTACCTCAGGTTAAGAATTTTACCTCAGGATGAGAACAGAAATTGCACACCGGTGGCACGGCAGCCGTGGGAGGCCCCATTAGCTAAAGTGGTACCTCAGGTTAAGAACGGTTTCAGGTTAAGAACGGACCTCCAGAATGAATTAAGTTACCGTATTTTTCGCACTATAGGACGCACCGGACAATAGGACACACTTTGTTTTAGAGGGGGGAGAACAAGAAACAAAAATTTTTCCCCTCTCTGCCCAGCGCCCCTTCAGTGAAGCGGCAGGAGGCGCTGCACAGAGAGGGGGAGAACTTTCCCCCTCTTGTTTTCCCGCTCTAAAACAAGGTGCCGTTTAAGGTGCGTTCAGGCGGCTACCTTGGAAGCCTGGAGAGCGAGAGGGGTCGGTGTGCACTGACCCTCTCGCTCTCCAGGCTTCAGGTTCCTCGACCTGCTCTTTGGGGCTGGCAGGGGAAGCCCACCACCAGCCCCAAAGAGCAGGTCAGGAGCAGCGGAAAGGCGCAGCAGAGAGGCTCCTGCCATAGCCGCGCGTCACCTCTCCAGCCGGGAGAGCGCGTGCGGGGCTAAAGAAGCCATAGCCCCGCGACACTCTCCCGGCTGGAGAGGTGACGCGCGGCTATGGCAGGAGCCTCTATAGCCGCGTGTCACCTCTGCAGCCGGGAGAGGGTCGTGGGGCTATGGCATCTTCGCTCCATAGGACGCACACACATTTCCCCTTCATTTTTGAAGGGGAAAAAGTGCGTCCTATAGAGCGAAAAATACGGTAATAACCAGAGGTACCACTGTAATTCACAGCTGATCTCTCATCTAAGCATTTCACAGTGGTACTGTCCCATGGGCTTTCAGTCCATTATCTGAATGACAGGCCCATACAGAAGCCAATTGAATTGGCAGGTAGATTCTACTCCAATAAGGGTGAAAGGACAGGCTCTTCCATTGCACTTGAGGGCAGCAGGCAAGCACAGTGGGAACAGGGCAGGCCACATGACACAGCTCTGTCCACTCCCCGCACCTCAGTGTCTGCCACCTGAGGCAGCTGCCTCACTCTGTCTCATCATAGAAGTGTGCACACGAAAGCTCATACCAATAACAAACTTAGTTGGTCTCTAAGGTGCTACTAGAAGGATTTTATTTTATTTTATCGTAGATGATAAGTTACACTGTTTAACTTTAATTGACTTCAAAGGTTTTAAACAGCTGAACTGTACAGCACCTATTTCTGGTCCAAATTGTAAATGCTCACAGTACTTAGGATGCATGATGGTCCAAGGCTGGATTCAAATATGATGCAGAGCATAGGAAAAAGGCTTGTGTAAGCAGTCCTTATCACGTTTCAATGCGTTTATCATGACTGCTAATCTATATGCACGCAGCTAAGCTTAGCACACGCTAAACTGGCACACATGGACTGGAGGGAGGACACATCAGCTGCATTTAAATGTTATTGGGACTATGTTAAATCCTTATATAGGTAAGTTGATATTTGTGTTTTTCTGTGATTAGGCTTAAAGGTAAAAGGTAAAGGGACCCCTGACCATTAGGTCCAGTCGCGGACGACTCTGGGGTTGTGACGCTCATCTCGCTTTATTGGCTGAGGGAGCTGGCGTACAGCTTCCGGGTCATGTGGCCAGCATGACTAAGCCGCTTCTGGCAAACCAGAGCAGCACACAGAAACGCCGTTTACCTTCCCGCCGGAGTGGTACCTATTTATGTACTTGCACTTCATGCTTTCGAACTGCTAGATTGGCAGGAGCTGGGACTGAGCAACAGGAGCTCACCCTTTTGCAGGGGTTCGAACCGTCGACCTTCTGCCCTAGGCTCTGTGGTTTAACCCACAGGTGATTAGGCTTAGGATTGCTATGTGCTGTTTTTTTTTTGAACAGCCAAATTATTGTATTTTTTTTTCTTATTTGAAAAATGGTTTGTTGTTTACTTGTTTGTTTTTAATCTGTTTGATCTGGAGAATTCTGCAGTAGTACATTTATAAGACTGGATGACTAGATCTATAGATTAAAGCTTAGAAAAGGTGTGCATGTGGGGAAGGGGAAAGGGTGGAACAGACTGGCAGGAATGAGTAGTGAGCTGTGTACTGGCATGATATGGGTCTTGTTCACACATGCAATCATTTGATGATTGTAAAATCAATGGATGATTTGTATGTGTGAAAGGGCTATCAACAAGGTAACACTACAGGTTTTCAAATACAATCTAGAACACTGGAGTCTATAGCATTCAACTGCCACTCATCAATACCTGCTTCACACATACAGGACATCATTTCCTTTTCCCACACTTAAAGTATGGAGGCCTGATGAGGGATAGCTGACGGCATTCATGGACTCCTTTGAAACATCATGTCTGGGAAATGTAAAGCAATAATATGTGCTTGATTTGTGGTCTTTGATCTGTGATGGGTCGTTCATACATCACAGCAGCAATCAAGTGATGGCCTGCACGTGTGAACAGTTCACATACACGGAAAGATGAGCAACAGTGTATATGCACAATGCCTGGATGGGTGCAGAGGATGACCAAGATGGCTGCGTAATGTAAAACTTCTTTTTATGAATATATTGCATAAAGACAAGATTGATTGTATAAAGACAGATCTTAAGGGAGGAATGCTCCTGGTGGGGCTTGCCAATGGCTGCAGCCTTTCCAGGGACAAAGAACTTTTCAGGCAGGAATAAACTAATGTGATTTTGGACTCCGATTGTTAACGTATAATCCCAGGCAGGCAGGGCAGAGTTTTGGTCAATGTAGAAAAGTTTGCTGCACTATCCTATACGAAAATTGTGCGCGCGCGCCCGCGCCATAATCAGCCATTTGGGATGATTGAAAGTATCACTCCTGCACAAGACCGGGAGCGTCTTGTATGTGTAGCTACTGAGGACCACATTCAGTTGCGTGGGGACTTCTGCCCCCCATGCGCCAGCCTTGCCCTCCCAATGCTTCCCCTTCTCTGCAGCTTCCCAGCGGCTGCGTCCCAAGCTGGAACCAGCGGAGCCGAGCGCGCGAGTGGCAGCAGCTTAATTCGCTCCATCTGCTGCTGTCTCTCTCTCTCTCTCCGCCACCGCGGGATGAAAGGAGGCGCTGAGGACTCTCCAGGCCAAGCCCAAGCGGGGGGATGACGTCTGGCCAGCGGCAGCCAAAAGACTCCGGAGAGGAGGAACGAGGCCACCGCAAAGCCTCGGCGGCCAAATGTGGCGACTGGAGTCCCGCGGAGAGAGGCGATCCTGCGGGATGGGGCTCCTGCTCCTGCTACTGAGCAGGACCAGGCGATCTTCGGCCGCGTCCTCATTGCAAGCCTCCCCATTCGTGTGACCGAGCGGGCCTTCCTTAAGTGCCTTCGCGTCCCCTCTGGCTCCTGCTCCTTCTTCACTTGGATCATGAACGTCGGAGACCAGCGCCTGGCTAGAGGTCCCTCGGAGGGAATGACTGGCCGCGGCCCCGTCCTGGGCTGGGGTGGGGTGAAGGGCTGGGGGAGTTGAGTGACAAGCAAGAAGCAGCCTCCCCTCCTGCAGAAAGAGGGTTTTCTGTATCTCGGGTCTCCTGGAATTTAATGTGACGGGAAGGGGAGCGGCCCGTCCAAAGGCGCTTGGCTTCCCCCCTCCCTTCCCTCCCCGTCGGGCTGTGATGCGTCTCCTTTGCGCAAAGGCGCATTGTTCGCGGTAGCGCACCGCGCCGGGTCCTTCTGGCTCGATGGCTCACTCCAGGGCGACCCTCATCACAGCCTCTATAAGAAGCCGGCCCTGGCGAGGGGATGTCAGACGTGCTTCGAGGGGCCCCCAGCTAGCAGGACGCGCGACGTCTCCCCCTCTTGCGCCTTAGTTGCTCTCCAGAGAGAAGCGTCGCCACCCGGGACGGCCGGTAGCGGAGAGCAACTCCTCGCGGGACTTTTCGCCGGCTGCTCTTCTCTTTCTATTATTATTATTATTATTATTATTATTATTACTACTACTACTACTACTACTACTACTATTTTAAAAAACCAAAAGAACTTCGATTTGGGCTCAAACTACTCTCCACAAGCGAGGACCTTTCCCCGGGCGCACAGTGCACGCCTCTCCAGCAAGGTCTTTGGAGACGGATTCTCTACCCCACCTCTCCACCCACCCATCTCTTCTCCGCTGCTTTTTTTTTTTTTTTTTTTTTTTTGGCGGTTCAGCCGAGCAGGCAAGCAGGGCAGGCGAAGCGATGAGCCCCGTGGCATTAATGCTAGGCTTGAAGACCTTGTGGGTTTTGGCTTTTTCCTCTCTTTCCAACACGCTGGCGGTGAATAACAGCGGCCGATGGTGGTAAGTGCGCTTTACGCGCTGTGCGCCTTTGGGGAGCCTTTCCAAATTCGAAGAGCCTGGGGAGGGGAATCAAATCCGCCTCGGCCCGGCTCCCACGGAGGTGACCTGCGACTCCCCACTCCTGGTGTTGCTGGCAGAGCTTCGGGAAGCTGCGCCAAGTGCCCAGGTGGATGAGCAGAGCAAGAACCCAAGGCGCGCTCACAGGGGGCGCACGCTCGGCGAGCCGCCCGGACCTGGTTTGCCCTGTAAGATTCCCGACCGCAGGCACGTTGTATCGCCTGGCCCTTTGCTGTGGAATCCTGATCTAGCTAAAGACCAGGGCATCTGCATACGCCTGAGAGAGGCATCCTCGTGGTACAAGACATATAGGGCAGAAAAAGACATAGGGCTTAAACTAGCCTTCACTGACACCCCAAGGCGCCTTTGGCAACTGAGGTCAGCGGATGGGTCTAATTTGGAAGTGTGATAGCGTACAGGTGTGCTGCAGTAGTTTCTTTTAGAAAAGTGACGACGACGGTGATGATGATGATGCTATTGCTGCTGCTGTTACAGCTACAGTGATGGTTAATTAAGGGCAGGAAAGTGTGTCTTATCATTTGTAAGCTGCCATGAGTCCCTGTGAGGGGCAAAAGGTAGGGTATCAAATACATATATAATACAGTACATAATAATAATAATCTACTGTACTGTTTGCACTGGTGCTGTGGCACAGCTATATGTTACTTCATTTATTGTTGCATAATTACTATGAGTTATATTAATATTTCTTCCTATACTAGTACTTTCATTTTTACTTTTAGATGCTTAGTCTCCCCATAACAATATTTAGGGGCAGGTACTGCAACCCATTAATCCTTAATCATAGCCTTGGGAGAAAGATCATTTCCATTACCACTACCATTCCCAGGGGGGCTGCTTAAGGGTGTCCTTGAGAATTAAATCTCAAATCTGCAAGAATTAAATGAATTCCCAATTAAATCAGAATTAAATAACAAGCCTGCACTTCTTTAGCATGGTCCACATGTGCTTCTGACCATTTTACATGTGAGTATAGGCATTTGCAATGTGAATGGGCATTCTGGCCTTTACACTCATCTTAAAAACTCTGTTGTGTTAAGACTTATGTGTGAATCCCGCAGTCTAGCTCTAATCTGTATAATTTGTTCAGTGTATTAATTATCACTGGCTCACTCTGTTGTACAGCTTGCCAAGCTAGTTGCTTGGAGCACCGGCATTTTCAGAGGCATTAAAAAGCATTGCATGGTCTCAGAGCATGAAGCACTTTAGGATCTTTGGCATGTTGCAGGTATCAGGTGCATGGAATCTGAGGCTGCGCGCACATGCCCATTTACTTGGCATCCAGTGCACTCCCCCCACTGGTTTGCGAAGCAGTAGACACACAGCTTTAGTCACAATCCATATCTATCCTGATTTTAAGTTTGTAACATGTACACAGAATTAGATTAGGTTAGAAGGGCGGCTGCTTGGTGCGTATCTACAGCTATGGATATGAAAATAAAGTGTGTATTCTGCTGGGATAGCTCTAGGTCTCTGCCTGCCTCCTCCTCTAAATGCAAACCTGAACAGTTAGCAGAATGCCCAGCTCCCAATACTCCACCCACATAGCTTGCTGTGTGCTGAAATACTGACCCCTACTAGGAGGTAAGCATCAGAAGTTGACGATGCAGTTGGGAAATGCCCAGTTTTCAGATTTCCTTAGTAGTCTGTGTGGCCTGGAGCTGCACAAGTACCAACTTTCAAATTTCTGGGTTGCTTACTGGTACCTAAAACTGAGGGCACAGATTTCATGCTTCCTATCATTAGGGAAAGACTTATAAATGCCTTTACAACTTTCACAGTAATCAGCATATGATGGGTTGTGTGTGTTGACAGATTCATTTTCTCGGTCAACTTGAAGCACCGTAATTATTTGGGGATGCACCATCAGCTCCCTGTTTTGAAGGAGAGAAGTACAATGTCCCACGTTTCAAATTATTTCTGGAACTGGAGTGTCTTGGATGACATGTGTACCCAATTTCAGAGTTCTAACTCATCGGAAAGTACCTTAGGAATCTACTGCTCCAACTCGCAGTGTGTGAGTCAGTGAGGCCCAAATGTCTTTAATACTACTAGTAAATGAAGCCTGCATTCTTCAAGCATAGCTATATGTCCCTTGTTAATAAGTCCTCTGCAAGCCCCACATCCAAATCTGAGGATGCCATGGAAGTCCTACAGACCAATAGGCTGTCTTATAGAGCATGTGGCTTGGCTTGATCTAAGTTAGAATTCTGGTCTTTTCTGAAAAGGAAACTCTGTGCTCCAAGCTTTGACCAGAAGGTGCAAAAAAAGTCTCCCTTCTCCCCCCCACCCCACCTCACATATCTTGGAAAATATTTTTAAAATATATGTTCCTCAGATGCTTTTCTAGTAATTCCAATGTCTTGGGCTGTGTGAATGCCAAATTTAGGTTTCCTGGAAGAATCTTCATTATTGTATGGGTCTATTTGAGACACCGTTTTGCGATAGAATTGTATAAATGTTCTACTTTGGGAATTTTTCTGGCAATCAAGGTCTCTTTCACCAGGTGTATCAAATTTTTAGGACTGTAACTCATCAGGAAGTATCCTAACAGTTTTAATACATCTGTGAGTCATTCACTGAATCCGTCTATCTATCTATGTGAGACACTCGTTAGTAATAAACCGCAAAGCAGAATCAACAGAGCAACAAATCTGATTTAATGTTTATGGATATCAGGAATAATCTATAGACTGAAAGCAGGAGGCACATAGGACTGCTTGCTGTTTACTTTTACGCAATACTTAGGAATGTTCACAGCCAGCTCCATTAATTTTGTTTTGTTTTTATCCTGCATTTCAGATACAAAAGCAACCCCCTCAGCATTTTAAAATAATATAAAATAGCTTTAAACAAGAAAAAGTACAATCAGTAGCAGCAATACACACCAACAATTTGCACCAGATCAGCCATTCAGCCAAATGCTTTCTGTAATTGTACGGTCCTTGAAGAAAACTTCCTTAGGTCTCACGGAACATCGCCTCTTGTGGAAGCTTAATCCACAGAGCAGGTGCCGTGACCTATTGCAGCTTCCCTTCTTTTCAGACTCAACACACTGAGAGGGAGGCTGCTGCACATGGCATGTGTACAATGTGTGTGGTGCTTCTTACCATGTAGATGCTCTTCATCCTGTGGTCAGTAGCAGCGCCAGTCCAAGCTGCTGCCAGGAATGTGTGGTATGTGGTGCTCTGCGCATGAGGCACAAGATCCAGGTGGCCAGTAGCACTACAAATTGCGGCCACTGTGGGGAGAAGTCGCCACACAGGTGCCGTTTGCAGTCTCCTCCACTGGATGGGGCATGAGGTACAGCTTGACCCTTAGAATGTGCAGCATAGATCTGTAATTATGTTGCTATTGTTATTTCTGATTAACAACAAACAAACAAACAAACAAACAAACAAACATATATTCTATTCAGCTTCACATATTAGGGTTGCATGATAAAGAATTATGAAATCATGAATGGTATGGAGTGAGGAGAGAGAGAGAGAAATTGATTGATTCTTGGCGTTACCCAGGAAAGTTAATTGGCAGTGGGAGGTTCACAGCCAACAAGCTGCATATTCCTGCATTGCTGCGGGTTGGACTAGATGATCCTTAGGGTCCCTTCCGACTCTATGAAAAGGAATTGCTTCACACAGTGTATCACTACTGTGCGGGAACTCACCACCAACAGATGTAGTGATAGCAACTAGATTAAAGGTTGCTGTCAACTTTCCCCTTTTTTAAGGGAAATTCCCTTATTCCGAATAGGATTCCTCGCAAGAAAAGGGAAAAGTTGACAGCTATGCCCTGGCCATTAGGTCCAGTTGCGGACGACTCTGAGGTTGTGGCTCTCATCTTGCTTTACTGGCCGAGGGAGCCGGCATACAGCTTCTGGGTCAGGTGGCCAGCATGACTAAGCCGCTTCTGGTGAACCAGAGCAGCGCACGGAAATGCTGTTTACCTTCCCGCCGGAGTGGTACCTATTTATCTACTTGCACTTTGTCGTGCTTTCAAACTGCTAGGTTGGCAGGAGCAGGGACTGAGCAATGCGAGCTCACCCCGTCGCGGGGATTCGAACCGCTGACCTTCTGATCAGCAAGCCCTAGGCTCTGTGGTTTAGACCACAGCGCCACCTGCATCCCTATAGCAACTAGATTATTTGGCTTTAAATTTTATTTTAAAGTGTGAGAGCAAGTTAATGGAGGATTGTTATATCAGTGTGTATTAGCCATGGCAGCTAAATGGAATCACTACTAGTTGTAGAACTAATCCACTGCTTGGGGCTGAAGGAGGAGGTAGAGTACTTGCAAGAAAGGTGCAGAAACTTTGGACAACTCTGCACTGATCCTGCTATGTAGACCCTTGACTGCCACTTGGGCTAGTGAGTTATATGTTGCTAATGTGTTTTTTGTGGGATTTGCTAGGTAATTCTGTAGTCTTTCTCCTTGGATGAAATAGAAAGGAAAGGAAGGAAATTCTCGCTCAATATTTATCACATTTCCAGCATGCAAAACGCCCCTAATGGCAAACATGTATGGCATTTCCTTTTGGGTTGCTCTTTAGAAGTATAGCGTGTCCCTGGCTAGAAATGGGAACACTCTGCCTTCCTCGTGTTTAATAACTAGACCAGGACTGGGGAACCTGTGGCCTTGAGACCCCTGACATTATTGAACACGTTGTCTGAGGCTGATGGAGAACTAGACTAAGTCCCCAACTACATGACTCAGTATCAATGGCTCTGTACCACATCCAATTCTTTCTTTAAAAAAATAAATAAATCATCTGTAGACTTCAGGAGCTGTTTCCATTTTTAATATTTCATTCATTCATTCATTGATACATACCCCATCTTTTCCCCTGCCAAGTGGCAGACCTTGGGGTCTCAAATTTCAATGGCACCCTGTGCAACACCAGAATTTGTCACCCCTGCCTCTCATGCTCTGTTCTAAATAATAGTTGCGGCATCCCCTGCAGTTCCCCCTGAGACTCTGCGCCCAGTGCGACTGAACCAGTTGCACTCCCCTAAATCTACCTCTGCCCTGACGGGACTCGAGGCGGTTGCTCATTAAGGTCATCAACAGAGGCCGCCTTATGGGACTTGCCAGTGTCTGAAGCGTATTTAGTTGGGGCTACGGTAAGAGGTTTCTTTGTAGGTTTGCCCAGGCTCTGGAACTCCCTGTGCAGGCAACTCCATCTTACTTCCTCTTTGATGACCTTCCGCCAAATTGCAAAGTTGGTTCTTTTAAGAAAGGCATCTGACGGATAGGAAGCTGGTTACGGTCTCCCTCTGGTATGTTATGGTTGATTGTCCTGATACTTTCGGCAGTGAGGTTAATCTGTAGGAAGTTTTAATTCCAAACTTTAAAAATTATTTTGTAACACCACTTTTATGCTGCTTGATAGTGAATAGCTCCTTTCATGTGGCTGTTTGCTATTATTATTGGTTTTAAGCATTGTCAGATACCTCAATCATCCTTTATGGAGTGTGGTTCCCCCCCCCCCAAAGGTTTTAAATAAGCATGCAGTGGTTTGTAGCATTTCACAGCATTCAACAGTTCACAAGCAATGATATTTAGTATTTGACAGGTGGCAGTGAATGAGATTTTACATTTGATGCCTATGAAAACAGTCAGAAGATGCCAATAAGTCCCTCAGCTGATGTAAATATCCGTGTTCAATGCTGCAAGAAATTTGAATGTGCCGTTTCACACATCAAAATTTGTGTGTCAGAATTTGAACTTTCTGCTTAAACCCTTGCCGTTCTGTGACTGCAGGGGAATCATCAATGTGGCCTCATCCACCAACCTGCTGACGGACTCCAAGAACGTGCAGCTGGTGCTGGACCCTTCTCTGCAGCTGCTGAGCCGCAAGCAGCGCAAGCTCATCCGCCAGAACCCAGGCATCCTGCACAGCATCAGCAGCGGCCTGCAGAGTGCCATCAAGGAGTGCAAGTGGCAGTTCCGCAACCGCCGCTGGAATTGCCCCACCACACCAGGGCCAAACATTTTTGGCAAGATTGTCAACAGAGGTAAGGAGGTGACAGGAGACGGAGACTGGGCCATAGGAGTCCTGGGGCGGGGATCCATTTGCTTATATAGAATGAACCCGGTGCAGCCGAGATTGTGTTCTTGCCCACCCATTGGAGCAAGAGAATAAAGAATCCCAGATGATTGGTTCACCACAATCTGAAAAGCTCTATTTCTCTTCTTCTGCTTGGTTGAATCAATAACCATGTGCTCTTTCACATCTGTCTCCCCCAGTCTAGACCAGGGCTGTCCAGATGCTGGACTCCCAACTCCATAATCTCTGACCTTTGGCCATAGTGGCTGGGATTAAGGAGACCTGGGGGGCCACGGATTCCCCACCCCTGGTATAAATGAAAGTCTGTTACAACCAAATGAGCAGATTTCTTATGCAATCTGCTACAAGAAGTAATGCAAGGAAGTGTACAGACTACTTTGCATTTCATGATATTTGTGTTCTGCTTCCCAGTGTTTTGTATGTGTGATGCAAGCTTGTGTGACTCATTAACAAAGGATAAGCTTTTGCACCACTGCTGCCCCATTGACTGTTCTTCCCTCCTCTTTCACAATCAGAGCTTCTTTTCATTTTTGCTTAAAAACATTATAAATCCACACGGCAGCTGTTCAAGTTCCTCCTTATGAGGGGAGAGAACTAGAGACTACTGGGATATTTTTCATTTTAAAATATCTATTTAAATCATGGTAGCTAATCTGACTCTGGCCCTCCAGATGTTGCTGTACTACAGATATTTGCATTCGCCATAGACCCCCAGCCCAGTTAGTGATGATCACAAGAAATACTTCAAGGGCGCGCGATGCAAGTCTTAGCATGCACACCAGTTTCCCAGACTGCCTGAGACCAATACAGGCCACTCTAACCTTTACCTTTACTTTACCTAAACTTCCTGAAATGAGAGTGGGAAATGTGTAATCAAAAGCAGGAATTAGGTGGGACAAGTCATTAAGTTACCCAAGTCAAGCCTGGGCTATTGCTGTCTAGTGTTAACTAGAAGAGCAAGATAGCCTCACCTGCCCCAGGTGCATCCTTATTCGGAATGCAAAATAAGCATGAGAATAGAAGCATTGTTGTTGAAAGTGTTAAAATATGTGTCACGAGGATATTGTCTTCATAGTGGTGCAGCAACAAAACTGCTAGCACATTTGCAAAGCTAAGTAGAGTCTGCTTTGGTTTCAGATTGGATGGGGAACCATGCGTTGAAATTCCTGGGTTGGACTAGATGACCCTTGGAGTCCCTTCCAGCTCTAGAGTTCTGTGATTCTACGATTCATTACAAACATTACGCATGTTGTCAAAATATCCAGTGTAAGGATTAGCATCTTTTGTTGAACACCTGTTTGCTTATAGGTTTTGATGGTCAGTTTGGTTGACGTTCTGTAAGCTGGCTTGCTCTGTGGGTTTTGGTGGCTAGAATATGTCTCTTCCATAAGCATTGCAGTGTGACCACCCAGAGACACCAGTTCAAGCATGGAGACGCCAGTTCAAGCAGCCTGTGGTGGGATAGGTGTTTGTTTGAAGGGGGTCCAGATAAGTGCTGTTTGCTTTAGGTTGAATTGGTGTCATTTTATAAACTTAACATTGTCTGCCTTGGAGCGTGCCTGCTCCCCCATGCTCCATGTAAATCAGGGGGTGATTAACATGGGGAAGGTCTGTCCCATCTTGCCTCAGGCCACCCCCACCCCACCCACCTCCTCTGAGGCCTCACTTCCCAGGCATGCAGAGCTTGCAGGTTTCAGGAAGGGGTTCACAAGATTCTTCAGGCACCTGGAAGCCGCAGTTGCTTCTCCTTGCATCTCTAGCAGCAGGGAGTGGGCAGGGCACCCACTGCGACCACAAGATCTCGCCAGAAGCTGCTGCCACTGCTTTTCCTTGCTTCTCCAGCTGTGGCGGCAGGGGCAGATGGGGCACCCATGGTGATGCCGCCCCTTGGGATTCTGCCACCCAAGGCAGCTGCCTCATGACTAACCGATGGCTCTCCAGATTAATAACATCTGGAGCTGGGCTCCAGATCTCAAAGGCCAAGGATGATGGCAGCTGTAGTACAGCAACATCTGGAGGGCCAGAGTCAGATTAGTTACCATGATTTAAATAGATATTTTAAAATGAAAAATATCCCAGTAGTCTCTAGTTCTCTCCCCTCATAAGGAGGAACTTGAACAGCTGCCCCAGAACTTTCTGGTGCTTGGGAAACTGGAAGAATTTGCACACAAATGAAGCACTACAACCTGTCAGAAGGCTCCCTAGTCGCCTTGAATTTATTCAGTGTGGGGGGAAGTGCCATGAAGCTCTGGAAACTACCATGGGTTCCCAATTCATGTATTGAAAGTGTCTTCTGGTTCCCTGTCATTATTATTAACCAACAGCCTTGTACTCACAGTTGCTTGGGAATTCTAAGAAACCAAAAATCAGTTTTGGAATCAGTGATTAAAATCAGTACACTTTTGAAAGGTTCAGTTTCTTAAGAGGAGTCCAAATGCATAACGAACAGAGAAACTACAGTACATTCCAAAATGTATAGCAGTTGCCCCACCATTTCTTCAAGGAGCATAGGGTAGCATGCAAGACCCCTTATTTTGTCTTCGCAACAACCCTTTGAGGTAGGTTGCTCTAAGAGAGGGCAGCTGGCCCTTGTGAACTTCCTTCCCAGCTGGGGATTTGAACCTGAGTTTTCCCCATCCTAATCTGACACACTAACCATTATTTCACCTTGGCTATCATCGCTGCCTCATCCTGGTTAGGATGGCTTGTGGTGCCACAGTGGTGCTCTATGCTGGTGAGAGGGACACACACACACACACACACAGAGAGAGAGAGAGAGAGAGAGAGAGAGAGAGAGAGAGACCCTTGGAAACCAGAGGAGGCAGTTTAAGTGCACCGCTCCTGTGTGCAAAAAGTTTCCTTCTATTATCAGCGCATAAACATAGCACACAGCTGGGATTTGTACACCAGGCATCATGTATTATTTTGGTTTTTAATAGTCAGTAATTGTTATTATTTTCCTCTCCGTATGAAGAGGAAAGACATTCCTTTCCCACAAACTCTCAGACTCTTTAGCATGCCTCTTCTTGCTCTCCTTTCCCAGCTAAAGAATTTTTTTAATGGGTTGCAGCATTTAGCCAATCAATCTTTTCAATTCTTTGATTCGAAAAGATGCTCCCAATTAATCAGGAAGCAGGTTTTTAAAAGTGACTGCTCTCCTTTTGTATAAGAAAGAGGGGAGACTTTTCCGAGATAGTACCATCACACACATCTTGTAAGCACAAAATCGAGATTGTACGGCAAGGATTGGGGAACCTGATGCACTCCAGATGTTGCTAAACTACAACTCCCATCATCCCTGACCACTGGGCCATGCTGGCTGGCTGGACTGACAGGTGCTGGAGTCCAACAACATCTGGAATGCCACACATTCCCCACCCCTACTGTAGGCACACTGGATTGTAACGCCAAGCTTTCCCCATGTTCATTGCAACATCTGGCTTAGTTTGCTTGTATGAATAACCTATCTCAGCGTAGTTTAGCAGGCTACCTACTATCAGTTTATTATAACAGTTTTGGTTGGATTATGCAAGGTGAACTGTGGATGGAGTTTGGCAGTTGGATATAACTACCTCCCAAGTATAGTGATGGCAAGGAGACTCTCATGGCTGTTTGGTCCCTGCCGGTAATTGTCTTGTGAACAGGGCAGGGCAAAAACAGGGTCTTGGGATCCTTCTGGTTTGTGGGACAGGGATGGACGGCAGGATGTTGCGATTCTATGATTCTACGATAAAAATCCTTTTGGTTTTCTGATTTTTATGGGTATTCTTCTGGCTGTGTCAATAAAAGTTCCCTTTGCAAGGTGCCTCCATCTTCCTAAATGTGAAGAGGGAGAGAAAATACTTAGACTCAAAGAATTGTAGAGTTGGAAGGGACCACGAGGGTCATCTAGTCCAACCCCCTGCAATGCAGGAATCTTTTGCCCAACCTGGGGCTTGAACCCATAACCCTGAGATGAACAGCCTCACGCTCTACCAACTGAGCTATCCCAGGGGATACTTGATGAATGAGGCAGCAGCTGTTATTTGTGCCAGCAGTGATGTTGATCTCCAGGCATGTGCTGGGGTGGCCCTTATTCTGAACGGGGAGAAATGAACTGTGGACTCTGATGCTGCGTGCTGACATGCCATATCTCCCCCTCCCATCTCCCACCTCCAGGTTGCCGCGAAACAGCTTTCATCTTTGCCATCACCAGCGCTGGCGTCACCCACTCTGTGGCCCGCTCCTGCTCCGAGGGCTCCATCGAATCCTGCACCTGCGACTACCGCCGGCGTGGCCCAGGGGGTCCTGACTGGCACTGGGGGGGCTGTAGCGACAATGTGGACTTCGGCAGGGTCTTTGGACGAGAGTTCGTGGACTCCAATGAGAAGGGGCGGGACCTGCGTTTCCTGATGAATTTGCACAACAATGAAGCAGGACGTCTGGTAGGAAGTGAGAGAGCATGTGGGCGAGGAAGTGTAGACAAAGCTGTGTATGTGCTTGCAGGGGTGTGTGTGTGTGTAGATTGCTGTGTTTGCAGCACCAAACCAACTTCCCCAGGGTGCAAGCCTGGGTGGTGTGTATGGAGGTCCTGGGATGCCAGAAGGAGGTGTTCAAGGTGCCATCCAACCGTCTTAGGGACTCCACTCCTTAGCCTTTTCTTCTCCCAAAGATATCCTGCAAGGCACCAGAGGTTTAGGACCAGAGTTTTCCTTCTTGTAGATGGGCTACCTTCCCAGGTTGATGAGCCTCATTTGCACTACAGCACATGCAGAAACCCACATCTCAGCTGCAATATTAATACTGGGCTGGGCTGCTGTAAGCCATTTTCTTTCCACGATGGGGATAATGGATCACAGTGGCATAGGCAGGATTTTTTTAACATGTTGAAAAGCAAACAAAAATACGAGTAAGACCACAGTTAGAGAGAATGACCACCTATTGTGTGTAGACTAGGGGATGCCATTCACACAACCATTTTTCACATGGTGAAGTCAGCAACAGCTGACTTTTGCTGTTATCTGAGCTATCAAACTGTTCTTGTGAGTGTTTCAACATGTGTCTAGACTCTAGACCATAATTCACTCTGTCCTGACCCCACCAAAAAAACGTGGAAAAATGGCTTTCAATCAAGAGCGGATGTGTAATGATTTGAATAGTGTCCAAGTACTCACAAGATTGGCTCACTATACTAAACTCCACCAAAACAGTTAACGCTGGCTGTGTACACATCATACATTTAAAGCAGATTTTTGCCCCAAAGAATCCTGGGAACTGTAGTTTATCCACCACGTAGCTGCACTTCCCAGCACACTTAAAACTACAGTTCCCAGGATTCTTCAGGGTGGGGTATGTGCTCTGTATGGGGAATCACAAGTTGGCAGAGCACTGTTGCACTCATGACTTGCTTGTGGGCTTCCCAGAGGCAGAATCTGGTTGGCTGGATGCTGAACTAGATGCGCCTTTGCATGCACCTCCTTGCATTCTTCTTCTTCCTATTTTCCTCAATGGAACTCAGGGCAGCTAAATTGCTAAATAGATATATAAAAACAATAATAAAAAATAATAATAGAATTAAAACTATTTACAGTCATACCTCGGGTTACAGATGCTTCAGGTTGCGTTTTTTTGGGTTACGGACTTGCCGAAACCCGGAAGTACCGGAACAGGTTACTTCTGGGTTTCGGGGGTCACGCATGCGCAGAAATGCTAAATTGCGCTTTGCGCATGTGCAGAAGCACGGAGTCGCAACCCACACGTGCTGATTGCAAATGCTGCAGGTTGCGAATGTGCATCCTGCACAGATCATGTTCGCAACCTGAGCGCCCACTGTACATACATAAGATCTGTTTAAAACATACAAATAATTGTACTGTAAACAGCAGGGCACCTACCCTTTCATTAAAAGCAGTCAGTTCCCAAAAGCCTGTTGAAAGAAGAAGGTCTTTACCTGCCAGCCAAAGGACAACGAGGAGGGAGCCAGTCTGGATTCTCCAAAGAGGGAGTTCCGGAGTCCGGGAGCAGTCACCAAGAAAGCCCTTTCCCGTGTCCCAAGGGACCAGATCCCACCCAGAACTATATCTAGTATTCCTAATCCATCCTCCCCATGGACTTTAATAAAGGCAATATGATACTGGCAGCTGCATTTCTCCTTTTCTGCAATTGGAAGGAGAAAAGGCCTCCCAGCCACTCTGAGCAGTAGCACAGCCTTCGGCAGCCTGCCAGCCATGTATCCCACGCCTCTGGGAGTGACAGTATGTCACCATCTAGTGCCAATCCCATGGGCATTCTGAAATATCACCAGGAGAGGCTGCCTGCTATCATTATTGGTCTCAAGTATTCTTTCTTCCTTTTTCTTTAAAAACAAACAAACAGAAAAAGGGGGTGGGGTTTAGCCTCCTCATAGTTAACGAAGGTTAACTCCCACCTCAAACATTTCATAGAAATTCATTCCCCCTACATCCCTGGAAGCAGAGAATCCCACCCCACTTGATGTGTGACAAATGGTCCCAGAAAAATGAAGGAAAGATCGTTGGCTATGCAATCATTATTTCCACCCCCAGGCAATTCTATGAAGAAGTTTCTTTCTCTTTAGCTGCCTGATTTAATAGCCTTCTCGCTCTGTGGCTCTCTATTGCTGGAGCCCCAGCTCCCATAATCCCTGGCCACTGGGCCAGTCTGTCTGGAGCTGATGGGACTTGGAGTCCAACAACATCTGCAAGGCCACAAGTTTCCCTGCCCTGCCTTGCACCCTTTTGGACATAGAGGAACGTCCCCTGCTGCCAGAGGCACTGCTAGGTTTGTGAGGGGTGGGGGAGATCAGGTACCTTCTGCCACCGCCAGCTCTGGCCTCTCCACTTGTGCTTTAGATGCAGGAGGTTTTTAAACTCTTAAGAGATGGGGCTCCTGCTACTCCCAGTAGCACAGTCCCCTCTTTGCCAGACCCCTCCGCCTATATGATGTCTCACCACTTTGGAGCCACTCCAGGAAGCATGGGTCGGCTGCCTCCCTCTTGCCACTCAGGACTTGGAGTGGCTCCAGAGCAACACGGCATCCTATTGCGTTGCAACACTCTGAAGCCCTTCTAGGAAGTCTAGGGGGACGGAGTGCTGCAAGGGACACGAGCCCCTTCTTAATTTTGTTTATTTATTAAAGAAAATGAGCCCTCCTCCACCTTTCACCTCTAAGATAATTGGCAGGGCCATACTCAGGGGCAGAACATCTGCTTTTCATGCAATTCCCAGCATCTCCAGGTAGGGCTGGGAGGGATCCCAGGAGTCAGTGTAGAAAAGATGGGCCAATGAGTGTGACTCAGTGTATGGCAGCTTCCCATGCTCCTCTTTTTCCTGCCCACTCCTTTCTCCAAAGGGCCAAGCCCCTCAGTCCACTGGCTGAGCTGGGCAGTGGGCCTTGGACAGTGCAAGTCCACTATTCTGGTTCTCCAACACAGCCTTCCCTGCCCTTTCTAGAGGTTTTATATCCAAAAATAACCATATTCTACTGGCTTTCACTGTTCCACCAGGTTTCTGATATGGCCACTATATATGGCATTCCAGCTCTCCCATCTTGGCTTTGAGGCTTCAGTTATCAGCCTGTACACATCTAGGCATTGCTCCTTCTCCAAAGGGCCTCTGTTTTGTTTGCAGTTTTTATTCCTATAATAATTTTTCTCTCTTTCGAACGGCCGTCTGGGTGCTCATTGTCAAGTTCTACCCAATCCCCAGTTTGAGGACCTAAAATATTTACACCATCATCTCTAAGAAATTGATCACCCTAAAAAGTCCCAGAAATCAGAGTAAAAGCTGCTCTGTTAACTTTTTAAAGTTCTGCTTGGCAGGAGACTGAAATGGACCTCACTTTGCCTTCCACAATTTATCACAGGGCACAATTCCCCCTGCATGACCCTAATTGAACACGAACTGTGCAAGGTCTTAGGCTGTATGTGCACACCATACATTTAAAGCACATTGCTTCCCTGAAAGGACCTTGGGAACTGTAGCTTGTTAAGGGTGCTGAGAACTGCAGTTTTGTAAGCCATAAACGACTGTTCCCAGTATTATTTAGGGAAGCAATGTGCTCCTAATGTAAGGTGTGTACATAGCCACCAAATTGCTCTTTTCTGCAGCAGCTACTCTGCACAGTAGGGCTTGCACAGGAGAAATTCCTGGCGGATTATGTGCCCAGTGCATCAAATCTGCCTGTCTGCCACTTATGGTATCATAAAATCTGCTCCCTAACCTCATGGTGAGGCCTCTACACTCATGAACAGAATTGTGCAAAAGCTATTTGTGTATCTCTGTGCTCTCTGCATCCATGTATGTGTGCGAACATGTGCATTGGGACGTGTGTGTCCCTGCTGAGTTCTCAGAAGTAGGTTATAGGATGGGCGACGAGGGTGGCAGTAGGCAGCATGGGAGGGGTGGGCTGTGGTGGTGTGATGGCCAAAAAAAAGAGGGGGGAGCAGGGGGAGAAGGCAGCCCTTAAGCAGGCAAACCTCCTGCATGCTAGCCAAGCCCAGAACCACAAGCCCGGCTGCCATGTGGGCTCCTACACATCTGGAAGGAAATGGTTCCAATTCTTCTAATTGCAGTAAAACCCGTTTGGAAGGGAAAGCTCTGGGCTTGGAAAGACGCATCCACATTCCGTGGGTGGGAGGGGGGCCCACAGTGCGCCAAGGGAACAGCTCCCTCTTGGAAGCAAAGGGGTGGGAGAGATGGGTCTGGTGGGAGGAGGGGTTCCCAGCAGAGCAGAGCAAGTGAGAAGCACATACCCAAGCAGCCCTCACCTCGCGGGCACTGAGAAAACTTGGGCAAGCTCCTCTGTTGGAATTAATAACAACAATGATGACCTTAATAATAATAATAATAATAATAAGGCACTTCAGAGCACTTTATGTACAGTACATGGTCCACATAATCCCCACAATTGCCTGTAAAGTAGGTTAAAAGACAAGTCCTGCTTGATGAGGCCAAAGGCCCAGTTAGTCCAGCATCTCACCAGGTCCTTACGGGAAGCTCAAAAGCAGGTCCTGAGAACATCAGTGCTCCCCGTCCCTTGTGATTCCCAGCCGCTGGCTTTCAGAGGCATCCAGAGGCATACTCTGGTGGTGGATGTTGGACATAGCCCTTGTAGCTAGAAGCTGTTGATAGTTTATCCTCCATGAATTTGTCTAATCCTCTTTTAAAGTCACTTAAGGTGGTGGCCATTGCTACTCAAAACTGTTATCCCCCTATTGCAGATGTGGCAGGGGGAAGACTGAGGGTAAGAGATATTGGCTTGCCTAATGTCACGAAGTGAGTTTGTGGCCAGGGCAATATTTGAACCATAAACTTCCTGACTACTGTTTCACTATGACTTAGCTGTTCCACTATGCTATGAAAAGTATGCAGCCCTAGGAGCCAAGCATTTAGGCATGAATTTAGATCTGGACAAGCTGGTACGTGTGTAGAGGACGGCAACCAAGATGACCAAGGGTCTTGCAAACCAAGCCTTATGAGGAACGGTTGAGGGAGCTGGGTATGTTTAGCCTGGAAAAGAGGAGATGGAGAGGAGATATGAGAGCCATCTTCAAATATCTCAAGGGCTGTCACATGGAAGAGAGAACAAGCTTGTTTTCTCCTGTTTTGCAGGCTAGGACTTGAGCCAGTGGCTTCAAGTTACAAGAAAGGAGATTCTGACTAAACAGAAAAGAACTCTGGCAATTAAGAGCTGTTCAACAGTGGAATGGACTCCCTTTGAAGGAGGTGGACTCTCCTTCACTGGAGGTTGTTAAGCAGAGGTTGGGGGACCCATCTGTCAGGGATGTTTTAGTTGAGATTCCTGCATTGCACGGCATTGGACTCGATGGCCCTTGGGGTTCCTTCCAACCACACAATTCTATGATTCTATGGCGTGCATAGGCAAACTCCGGCCTTCCAGATGTTTTGGAACTACAATTCCCATCATTCCTAGCTAACAGGACCAGTAATCAGGGATGATGGGAATTGTAGTCTCAAAACATCTGGAGGGCCAGAGTTTGCCTATGCCTGTTCTACGGTGTGGTCCATACTGCGGCTGGCTCAGAACTCTGGTGTCTTCTAACAGGCATTTCCTTCCTTTGTTACCATTCAGACGGTCTTCACGGAGATGCGCCAGGAGTGCAAGTGCCATGGGATGTCTGGCTCCTGCACGGTCAAGACCTGCTGGATGCGGCTGCCCACTTTCCGGACCGTGGGGGACTTTCTCAAGGACCGCTTTGATGGTGCGTCACGGGTCATCTACGGCAACAAAGGCAGCAACCGGGCCTCCCGGGTGGAGCTGCACCACCTGGAGCCGGAGAATCCTGCCCACAAGCCCCCTTCCCCCCACGACCTGGTCTATTTTGAGAAGTCGCCCAACTTCTGCACCTACAGCGGCAAGACAGGGACAGCGGGGACAGCAGGCCGCTCCTGCAACAGCTCCTCCCCTGCCCTGGATGGCTGCGAGCTGCTGTGCTGTGGGAGGGGGTACCGGACCCGGACGCAGCGGGTGACGGAGCGCTGCAACTGCACGTTCCACTGGTGCTGCCATGTCAGCTGCTTGAACTGCACCAACATGCAAGTGTTGCATGAGTGCTTGTGAGCAAAGAAAGGAAAGCGAAGAACATTCTGCATCCAGGAAACAAAACACTTCTTAATAGAGGGGATCCAAAAAATGCACACCCCACCAAGAAAAACAGCCCTGCCTGCCGCCGCCACCACCTCACCTCCCCATCTGTCTCGGCACCCTTTGTTGGTCTAGCAAGCAAGTTACCCCCACCCAGCGACCCCTGCCCCAAACAAGGTTCTGCTGTCCACAGACTACATGGAGAGAGAGACTCAGCACAATCTGAATGGCTGAAAGAAGCCTGGGAGGAAAGGGGACATTTGTGTGTATATATGCTTGCCAGACCCAAGTCCCCACGAGTTCAGATTGTGTCTCTCTGCTTGTTGGGCAGCCCCTCAGGTCCCGCCTGCTTGTCAAGATTCTCATCACAGGCTTTAATTTGAACCAGATCTCTTCATCAGGGCAGAATCCCGGAAGACTTCAACACTTGGCCTTGTATCTCCCAGTGTATTAGCTGTATTCCCATTAGCTGGAACTGTTGTTGTTGTTGTTGTTGTCGTTGTTGTTGCTGTCATTGCTGTTGCTCCTATTCTTGCAGAGTGGTCAAAATAGGAAAAAAATACCTCTGAGTTTGTGAAGAAAGGTTTAGGAGTGTCCAGACTACAGGGAGCATCTTCCAGGCATGTTTGACCAACATGCAACCTGGCATCTTTCATTTCACGGATTAAGCATTGCCTCAGTGGACTTTCTTTCTCATTGATGAGCCACTGTATAAGATTACTAGGTGTTGGAGTGAATGTCTTTTATTTAATACTTTGCATTTTCGTATCCCCCGTCCCATGAGGGATGCAACCCAATGTGCCAGTTCCATGAAGCATCGCTCGAGCACCAATCCCAGGCCAGCCTTCCCCAGCTGGGTGCTTTCCAGATGTTTTGGATTACAGTTTCTCCCAGCATGGTCAGTGGGAAGGCTTGCTGGGAGTTGTAGTCCCCCCATCATCTGGAGGGCACCAGGCTGGGGAAGTCAGAGGCGTAGGAAGGGGGGTGCAGTAGGTGTGGGCCGCCCCATTGTCATGACTGAGGGGGCTGACAAAATGGCAGGCAAGTGGGCGGCACACCTCACGCCCGGCGGCAGCAGCTCTTCTGACCCAGTGGCAGAGAGCAGCCCTCTGGGAGGGCACCTTCCGCGCCCCTTGGACCGCTCGGGCATATTCTCTACCGCTGGGGGAAGTCTGTTCTAAGCAATCTGTGGAGCTACAATTTTATAACCTATGGGGGCATATAGATTTGGTGTGCCTATATAAGCCCCATCAAAATGAATGGGAACTGAGCAAGAGCCCTACTCTGGGCAGTTTTCATTTCTTTAGACGGGACATGCAAAAGAGAACATCACAGGCTTAGCACGCCAATCCCTTGGTTCTATCTCCGAGTGTCACATCTGTGCACAACAAAGTGGCGATACAGTGGCTTGATCTGTCAAAGGCCCTGGTGTTGACTTGCCAAGTGCTTGTCAAGTTCAAAGGCAGGCAGGCAGTTTCCCCAAATTACATGTTGTTACATGTGTTTACAACTATTCCCAAATGCTGTGTGTGCGCGTGCGCGCATGTGCACACACACGCACACACACTCATGTGCCTTCTGGCCTTTGATCACTTTGCCAAGAAAATGTGTTTGGAGAAAGTACTAGCTTTTTTAAAAAAAAAAAAAAGTTCTGTTTTTTCTCCTCTTCGTTTCACTCTGCTCTCACCCACTCACCGGATAAACCTGTAAGTAATATGCACTGAAGAAGTGGTTGGGATTGCCGAGAATTTTACATATGTGTGTAAATAAAATATTTATTGTTGCCTGTTTCATATTCTTGTAGGCCTGGACCAAGGTTCCTGCTCCTAGATTTATGTGTCCTGAATCCAGTTTCTGGCACTCTAGAAAAGAATAAAGTATATATTTTTATCAATTCAACTGAGTTTAATGGGTTTGCTACATTCTGCTGAAAGGCCAAGAATGGAAGTGCCTGATCTACCCTCTGCATCGGTGCTCAGTTGTTGAGATGGATGCAGATCACCTTCACTTCTAACTTGACCTCCTCTCCACACAGGTCATGGCGTCTTGCCTGGCAGTCCTCACACTAAACCGAATTATTTGCAGCTGAGTGACAACGTATCCTTTGGGAACTCAGCCAATCGTCACTTAATGTCTCCAAGTGTAGGATAATTTACCACATCCTTTGCTAATCTGTTCCAATGTTACCCGCCCTATTAAGAAGCCGCATCTCACTTCCAGCTTGAATTCATCTAACTGCAAGCTTCCAGACGCTGGAATTTGTTAGGCTTTGGTCTGCTAGGTTAAAAAGCCATCTCATTGCAGGGTTATATGAAAGCAGAAAACGAAGACATGTTACTAGAGGGAGCATAATCTATGATAAAGCTTCCACACATCTTATATTGAATTAAAGGGGTAAGAAAACCTGCAATTTATGGATGGAGAGATGGATAGACGACTAGGCTAATGGATCTTCCTGTATGCCATTCATTTATCCAGAGTTCAAAGTGTTTGCCTTTTTATTTATTGACTGCATATAATTATTTTTGATTATTCATTAAATTTATTTATTAAATAAGCCGCCCTTCATCCAAAGATAACAGGGCAGTTTACAATATAAAAACACAAAATACATACCACAGTAGCAAACAAAACCAATAGTTTTAAAAGCCATAAATTGTTTAATTAGACAAAGGCCTGGGAGAAGAGCAATATTTTTGCCTGGTGCCAAAAGATATGCAACGAAGGTGCCAGGCGAACCTCTTTGGGGAGAGCGTTGCACAAGTGGGGAGCCACAGCAGAAAAGACCTCCAGGCCTCTCACAGGGAAGGCCCACGGAGAAGGTCCTCGGCTGTTGACTGTAGTGTCTGGGTTGGTTCATATGGGGAGAAGCAGTCTTTGAAGTATTGCAGTCCTGAGCCATTTAAAGCTTTAAAGGTCAAAACCAGCACTTTGAATTTGGCTCAGAAACTAATTGGCAGCCAATGCAGTCAAGCCAGGATTGGCGTTATATGATCACACCCTCTTGCCTGGTGACCTGGACACTGAATTCTGCACAAGCTGAAGTTTCCAAATCATCTTCAGAAGTAGCCCTACGTATAACATGTTGCAGTAATCTAACCTAGAGGTTACCAGAGCACAGAAGACAGAAGTTTGGCTATCCCTGTTCAGACAGAGGTGCAGCTGGGCCACCTGCAGAAACTGATGGAAGGCCCTCTGTGCCACCAAGGGCACCTGAGCCTTAAGCAACAGCACTGGGTCCAGAAGAAGCCCCAAGCTGTGGGTCTGCTCTTTCAGAGATATAATCCCATCAAGAGCAGGCAACCTCCCATCCATCTGGTCTAGGGAACCACCCACTAACAGTGCCTCAGTCTTATCTGGATTGAGTTTCAGTTTGCTGGCTCTCATCCAGTCCATTACTGGGGCAAGACTATGGTCTGGCACATCCACTGCCTCACCTGCAGATGTAAAGGTGAAGCAGAGCTGTGTGTCATAGGCATATTGCTGACAGTGTACTCCAAAACTCCAGATAACCCCACTCAGCAGTTTCATGTAGATGTTAAACAGCATAGGGGATAAGATTGAACCTTGAGGAACCTCACATGGAAGGCTCCACAGAGCCTAAGCATCACCCTCTGGAATAGGACTGGCTGGATCTGAGGGAAATTGGAGTCCAGCAACATCCAGAGAGCCACAAGTTCCCCAGTCCTAACCAGCATGACTAATGGTCAGTAATGGTGGGAGTGGGAGTCCAGTAACATCTAGAGGGCCACAGATTCCCATCCCTGCTTTCTGAGATCCTTTCCACTGAATATGCGACTTGGGACTCTTTGCATCGAAAGCATGTGCTGAGCCAATGACCTATGGCCTTATTCCCATGCTTAACAACACCATTAAGCTAAGCAGCAGGAGCAAGATTTTAATCTGTGTTGATCAAAGTATCCAGCAGATATATGTAGAGAATCATCAGCACTGAATAATGTGCTGTGCTGTTTATAATAGACCACATTTGCATCCGTTTACACTACTACACTGTTGGCTACATAGTGAGCTTCTCTGATCCAAAATTAGGCATGCAAGTCTATCCAATATGAAGTTGCCCACTTGACCTCATGGTGCAGGAGTTTGTAGTGCCCTCCCTACTGGACTGCAACTGACCATTGTGCATTTTGGCTGGGCTGATGGGAACTGGAGTTCAGCCTCATGTGATTGGCACCACATCAGCTGTCATTGAGTAATGAGCTGCAAAACGTCAGCACTTCCATGTCCATACAAATAATTAATTAAAAATTTCAATAGTATCCCCCCCCCCCCAGCAAACAAGGACCTCATATGCTCTCCCCTCTTACAATTCTTCTTGAGGTGCTGTTCATTATTTTTGCGATAGTTTCCCACCTAGAGGAAAGATATTTCCCTTGCCCTCTTGTCACTTTCTGTTTCATTTTATTATTTGATGGGTTTTTGTTGCTGCTGCTGTGTCTTTCTCCCTTGCCCACTTGTTTTTCTGGCTTCATGAGCTGATCTTTGTGTCTTTGATATACACATGTTCCAAGAACAGTCCAAGGAAGTCAGTAGCCTTCTGATAAAGTTACTGGCTTCCTTGGGACGAAACCCAAAACAGAAGTTCTAATCTGAAGCAACATCTGGGGCTAGGTTTAGCCTGCAACTGCTGATTCAGATGTATTGTGGAATATATTTCAGAGAAAAACATATGGGGCAGAAATACACCTTTAAGGCTGGTGGACTTATGCACCTTAGCAGGTGGAGTCTTGAGGCAGGGACCTGTCCACTTATTAATGGTGCTGAAAGCAAAATGCTTTGGGCACAGGATAGCTAAGGGGGCTTACTGGGACACTTTCATCTACTCCTATAGCTTCTGGAATAGCCAAATCGTTTGTAAAAACAAGGAGGTAGGTGTCCATTGTTTTCAGATGGAACCTGGATTGTTCTCCAACTTCAAAGCACCCCCTGTAATTGAAGGAGACTGTTGCCATGGT